ACCACATGTTCTTACAGACATAGCCTGAGTTCTAACAGTGCACATGATAGAAACAATTTCTGGTTTAGGAATCTACAGATTTACTGTGTGCTTGCATTCACTGTCAGCTACTGATGTTAATAGCATCAAGGACCATGTGGGCAGGCTTCAGCCCTCTAGAGTGTTCTTTATGAACCAGCCACAGGCCACTCTACTAGCTACACTGTGACCAGCCATGTAAAACATGTTAGTCTCATAAAATGGGAAAATGCCTAATAGAGAAATGTGAATGAAAAGAACAGAATAAAATCTATTTCTTTCACAACTATCAAAGCCAGAACACATAATGGTGTGAAATTTGTCCTCTGGAATTATAAGACTGAAAATCTGGTCTATTTGGCCAGATAAATACATTTTATGGAACTTTTTCAGCTAGCACTGAAAATCTCAGAGAACTGAAAATCCTTCTCACAGAAAAACAGGTAAGCTTTATCAAGGGGAGCAGCATTCCAGCACAAGTTATATGTCATGATGTGTAGGCATGATCACTTAATGATGTGACTCTTATGTCTGAGAAACTTAACAGAAGCCCAGGTAACTTGTGTGTATGGGGGTCATTATCCAGTTCCGCTAATGAGGAAAGGAAGCTGTGGATTAATCACTTATTAATAACCTTTTGAAATCCCAATACTATGTCCTGATAAGTCTTAGGCAGAAGGGCTTTACCACCATCTCCATCCATCCAAGTGGATAGGATGTGTCTCTGTCAATCCTGGATAATGGGTCAGTGGAACAAGTGGTGACCTATTGCTCTTCCATCCAGACTGTGCTGGAAGTACTACTTCCTAATTTCCTGCTAATTCTTCTTCTAAGATGATGAAAGACAGAAATGTTCCTGGGATTCTTTGTAGTCCCAAGTGAGGGAAGAGTCAAACTGAAGTCAAGTGAAGGTGTCAGAAAGAACAGCTAAGAATTGTGACAATGATTCAGCTTACACTCTAAGACATTGTGCCAAGTACTGCGCTGAACACAGAGCTCAGAAAAGTCTTGGCTTCTCCTTGTTAAAAAGAATGTCCTGGTACAGATTTGGTAAATACTACTTCGATAAATAATAAACTAAAGCATTCCTTGAGTTTATCGTTGTTTCTGATGATATGAGCCACCAGAGTCTCTGCTGCTCAGTGATCTCTCAAACATTCTCAGCTCCCTCTAGCAATTGACAAATGAAAAGAGAATCTCAATTAAATTATCTTTCAGTAGGAAGGTAAATGGGAATAGGATCCATTCTCAAGAGGGTCAGTCCCTGATATATTCAGAGAGATTAGCACCAGTCACTGGCTGAAGTTGACTGCTTCAGCTTCTGAGGTCTAAGGAAGATGTAACAAACTTCTACTATTTAGACTCTTTCACACATATGTAGGCCTTGTAGGCAGGGATATGTCTTTAATGTAAACTGTGATGGCAGTTGATAAGCAAATATCTCAATGTGGTATGAGTATCATTCATAGCGCAGGGCCAATATGTAATATTTGGAGAGCCCCAAAAGCCACCACTCAAAGTGGAGATCAGCAGATTTGACAGATTAAAATCCCACACTGCCTGGAAAGGTGGAAAGCAGGATGTTCCACCTCACCAGCAGCCTGTAAAGAACAGAGGAGGCCCTGGTTGTACTCTGCCCTCTGTGTCAATGTTCAGTGCTATCCACTCCTGTAGGTATACTCTGACATGCTTTACCAGACATGCTCAGGACAGCATCCCTCACAAAAACTCAGCTGCAGCAGGTTGCTTATTTTTACAGATGATCAGGAGGCCACCCAACTCTCATCACAACACAATCATCAGAGAGTCTGACCAGGAATCAACTCGTTCCTCTGCCTGCTCACTCTCTCCCAGAAGGTGGCCATATTTGCTAGTTTATAGGCTTGCCTGGGTGGAATCCAATCTTTTTTTCAAAGCTATCCTACTGTGCCAAATCCTGTGGTGCTTGCCTCAGAAACACTGTCCATGAGAACAGAATGCAAATTTCATGAGAGTAGGAGAGCATGTCAAAGCAGGTGCAGAATATACTTCCCTGGCTTCAAAGAGGAGAAAGTGCAGCGAGTTGGTTAGTGTACTGAACCCATTCTCCTCTTCACATGCTTATTTAGAACATCTACCACTTGCTACAGATTTCAGCAAAGATTAGTAGCAGAAGTTCCTGACCAGAGGTACAAAAAGAGAAGCTCCTGTGTGCCCACTGCATGGCCTCATTATCATTAGACACAATGGAAAGAATACTGCTGATTTTATTAAGAATTGAGTCAGACCCTATCACCAAACTAGTCAGCGAACTAGGAAATGTTGAGGGAGAAGGTTTACTTCTGCCTTTTAAATCCAAAATAAACAGCAATCCAAAAGATTTTTCCCTTTTCAATCACTTTCTTGATTTAATAAGCCTCTCCTTGATGTACTAGGTCAATATTATTGTTTTTTGATTACTTGTTTTTAAAATGGATTCCCATCCGTTCTGTTATTTTCCCATTTATTTCCAAAGTTTCCAGTTAAATAGGGAGTAGATCTTAATTCCAGTATGGTTCAAATACACTGAAGTAAAGGCCACATTTGCTTTTTCTTCTCATTTGTAGTCTAAGGATGGGTGTCTTCTTTACAGAATCTTCTTAAACATTAGAAAATATAAGCACTGCTGTGAATGGGAAGATGTGCAAAGGTTCCCTTACAGGTTTGTTTTTTTCTTCCTGTTTCCAAACAGAACTGGAGAACTTCATAAAATATAATAATTCCACATAAGTCTCATGTCACTTTGATACAATTCCATGCTGGACTTGGCATGCAGAAAGTCAAGCAAGTTCAAGTATTATAAACAACATGACAATTTCAGTTCATGTAGAATAAGATTGCTAAAGTTAGGCTGTGTGGGAGGTTTGCACCAATGTACATGTCCACCTTCCTCTGTTACTAATACCTCTCTACCTGACATTGCAGCTTTTTTTGACATTCCTAGGCTTAGCTGCCCTTAAACAATGGAAATTACATTGACTGATTCATACACTTTGCCTAGAGATTTGCACTGCAGAAGCAATCTCACTATTCTCTTTTGCTCTGAAGATCTAAACACCAATCATAGCACCTCTTAATACTTGTGCAATCAAGGCATGTCCTAAACCACATTGACCCTCCAATCCCATGCCCTCTGCTCTTTCTGAAAGATAACAGAACTAGCCTAGTTTACAAACTGTCTCTGCAGTCTATCCCAGTCTCTCTCCCATTCTTCAGTGATAACTCCATCCACCACTGGTATCTGCTGTGGCACAAGCCAATTGTGTCTCCATTGCTGAAAAGACCTGAGAGAACTTTGAGTACATAGAAAAGGATCAGGATTCTTATGACTCTTGAATCCAGCCATTTCCATGCTTTAAATAGTTCTGCATGTAACAGTTTTTTCAAAGAAATGAGAAAAGAGGGATGGGAAAAATTGAGTGCTACCTGGAGCTCTTAGTCACATATGTATGACGAACACGACACCTCTAAATTCAGCTTAGATTATGCATCATCTTTCCTAAAGCTGTGGAAGCCCATCAAAAAAAAGGGTCAAGTTAAAGGTGTTCAGAAATAGCCATAAATTTTATTACTGATTCACAAGAAAACCATATTAATTGTCAACATCAGTCAGTGCACCAATTCTACAGAGTCCTTACTGTAATGTATGTACCGATTATTTGCACTGTACTTGCTTTTCATGGCCACCATTCCACAGAGCATAATTTGTCTTGGACAAACCACTGACACATACTGAACAACACGCTGAAAAAATCTTTGTTGCCTTTTTTCCTTTTTTTTTTTTTTTTTTCCCCCAATCCTCCAAATATGTGGAGAAGACAAATTGACAGAAACTGGGATGACCTTTCTATGACTATTCTTTCAAGTTTTATAGACTATAGTCTTAGCATCTTACAGGCACTCCTGCTTGAAACTATTCCAATGTTTTCTCCTAACACATACCACAGTTCTAAAATGTATCCACCTTGGCTTGTTTCTTCACTTACGTCAGACTATTGCAGTCACTAGCTATGTACAGTGCAGAGATGTTAATGTGATATGTGATAAACATTCACCATCACGCAATGTTCCCTGTGTGAATTCCTCTAAAATTATGTTCACCTTCTGAGTAAACAAATAGAGGTATCAATGAACTATTACGAAAAATTTTAGATTAATTAAAATCAATTCTGCAAGATTCAAAATCATGGACTTTTCCCAATTTAAATGAATGCCACAGTCATAAACATTAAAATGTTTACCTATACTAATCATAAAAACTTATTCTTAATTAAAAAGAAAAAAAAGGAATTCACTTTTTCTACTTTTGTGTTTAAGAAATGCTTTTCCTGAACAACAAAAACATGTGCACATGCTTAATTTTGTTCCCAGTTAGCTGTCATTTTCTGATTCTCTTTCACTAAGATTATCTTTGGGTTGCCCATATTTCAGGAGATAATCTTTATAACAATTACAGACCAAGTGAAAACTTTATTCTTTGAAATCCTAAATTAGAGAGAAACCTAATCTGATAGTTTCACATCAAACAGGCTACCTTCAAATTCTGGGATGTAACTGGCTTGCTTTCTTTCTCTCATCTCCATTGCTCTTTGTCACACCTTTCAGTTAACTTTTCTTCTTTTTAACCCTTTTCATCAGACATGTTTATCTCTAGCCATTACTCACTGTTTCACCAGATGTCATGATGTTATTTCATAGCAAAGAAGGGCCACTGTGCTGTCTTCACAGAAGTCAAGGGGGAAATTCCCACTTACAGCAGAAGAAATTAAATATTGCTCTGATACATTTTAGCGGAGACTCTTCTGGAATCCCAGCTAATAAAACGCTGCTTTGTTAACTTTCTACTTGTCTGGACTGAAATACTTGAATACTTTGAAAAATTCCGTTTTCTCTTTTCTCCTCTCCTCTTTCCCTTGAAATCAACATATTCCTGTTATTTTAAAATGTAATATTACATTTCTTACCATCCATGCTGTGACAAAATCTCCCATCCAAGTCCCAACTGCAGCTACCTTCATAAAATTTTCATTCCTGATGCCCATGAAGTCTGTTATAATGTATGCACTGTGGAAACAAGAACACAGACTGTAAGCTACACATGTTTGCTTAATGCAGTTATAAAGAACTTGCTTTAGTGACAAAATTTACGATTAGCTGTGAAAGAGTTCCCATTTCTTGCATAATCACGTTTTCTGCTAGATCTGATACTTGACATAGAACTGAACCAGGATGGGTCATTTCCAATTAGCAATGGAAATGTGGAACTGATTTTACAGCCCATGTCTCTCATGAAGGTGCTAAAATAATGACAGGCAAAGACTTTAGGATTATGTAAGGCTTCTGGAAATATAAACTATTTTACACCTTTTATCTCTTCCTTTGTACAAATGGAACTGCAACATTCTCAGAATTGGTGACTTTGCAAAATCTTTATGAAGAAAAATGAAAATCCTTAAGTCCTCTTTAAAAGATAATTGAGCCACTTGACTTTTCACTCTACCAGTTATATAACTACATGTTTTTTTAACACAACAGTGCAAGCAAGACTTGCAGAATTTCAGTGAGATGTTGCTTGATTTATACATTGTATTTTCATAGATACACTTTACTTAAATCCAGAAGAAGCATTTCCATTCTGCTTAAATAATGCAACAGATGGGATTTAAAACCTCATGCAATAATTTGAGCTTTACTTTCAAGTTCATCAAGATGCTATAAGGACTATTAAGAAGATAAAGTTACTTGTGCTGGATTAAAAATGTGAAAAAATCATGGCTTTTAATATATCCTTTGCTTAAAGACTTTTCCAATGTTTAAGAGATGACTCTCCTCAAGACCTGACACATTGAATAATGCTAGAAATATTTTGTTTGTTTTCAAGATACCTGTAAACATTGCTTATATAATGTTATGCCTATTTAAAGGTGTGCACAAGTGACCTAGTTGCATGTAACAACTTCCTTGAACATTACGCTATCAATTATTGAAATCTTACCATTATTGTATACCCAGTGTTGTAATGTCTAGTAGCTAACAGACCATATCTCTGCAACTGGATCAGTGCAAGCTGATCCCAGTTTCTGGGTCAGTCCTATTAAAATCTAAGTATTTAATCAATATAGAGGATCTTGCTAGCACAAATCCATGAACAGCACTGTGTCACTTCTTAGGCACATTAATATGTTCTAGAGTAGAAATACTGATGTCATTGAATAGTTTCATGACACATGTAAAATGGCATACCCTAACGGCTCATTATACACGTCATGACCTTTCAGCTAGTATGTCACTAACAAAAATACCATCCTTTTTTCATCTGTTAAACAGCATATAAATGCTGGCTCAGATTTTCTGAATTAAAAAAAAAAAACAACACAAAACACCACATTTTTTTCTCACGCTATTTTAAATTACATTCCATGTAGTTAGTAAGACTATCAATATTCTAAATTCATCGTGTGTAAAGATGTGTGTAAACATAAAGATGTAAGAACAAGAACAGGTACACTTGTAAATAAAGATGTAAGAACAAGAACAGCTACACTAGGTCAACCTAAAGTCTCCCTGTTCCAACACCCTGTCTCCAAGACAGGGCAACAACAGATACCTAGGGAAGACTGTGAGGACAAGCAAGCACACACTTCCCAGATATATTCTCCCAGCCTCCTTATAACAGGGAAACATTTGGAATTCCTTTTTTTCCTGCATCTTGGGTATGCTGTTCTTGTAGCATCTGTGAAGGCAAAAAATTATCATGTCTGCTTTCCTTAAGAAGGTGTCTCATTAACCAAGAAAGCACAACAGTAAATGACAGTTGTAGGGACTGACCCCTGGACTGGCCTCCAAAAGCAAACTATATCTTTATCTTCTTCCTCAGTGTAAAACACATACAAAACCCCCACAGTTTTCACTTTTTTTATTCCTATTTCTTATATGCATTAGACATTTTAATGTATTATATATGATTATGAAAACTAAATGAACACTTGCAAAACGCTCCGGAAAATGGGCCACTTGGGTAACTCCTACAGCCCTGTCGCATATAAGTGGGCCTGCCACAGCCACCCATGAGTTAACCAAAAAGGCTGATAGGTCACTGATCACTGAACATAGGTATTAACAAGTAGAAGAGATATCAAACCAGACATAAGCTATTTTTTTAATGTAAATTTAAATTCTCTATGTAGTTACTTGTTTTTACAAATGTTAAAAGAATGTTAAAAGTATGAATGTTAAAAAAATGTTAAAAGTACTGTTAAAAGGCTTTTAATAAGGTTGGATGAACCAGATACATTACTTAAATACACAGAAAGGGATTGAAAGGAACAGATCATCCTAACAGTCCTTTTTATAATTTGAAACATGAATGCATCCAAGAAGCCTAGTATAAATTGTGCATTGTAGTCTGTAAGTAATTAATGCCTAAATGAAATATGCAAATTGTCAGACCTTCAATTAAGTTAAAATAGCATATTATTATCAAGAAACACTTAAGAACATAATCTGTGGATATTTTAAGTGCATTTACTGATTAAGATACAGCTACAACTTTTTATGGAACAGGGAAAATATTTTTAGCAGTGTCATTACCTTAGAAATAGTTAGGAAATAGACTGCTATTTTCTTAGCTATTTTATTAACTATCAGCATTAGATCCCGTGTATTTTATTCTTCCTGCAGTATTATTTTCATTTCTAAACACAAATTCACTTTTTTAAGATATGGATTTTTGGCTGCTAAAAATGAAAAAGCCCTCCATTTTTAATTTTCAGGTTTTAGGTTATTTTTAAAAAGCCATGCCCATCTGAAGATGTTACCAAGATATATATTTTAACAGTACCAACAATAAAATTAGCTCTATTGTGGAAAAATCCTCACTTTTTTCTAGCTTTAGCTAGTGATTAGAAGAGTCTTCATTAATTGGTTACTCTGCTTCCTGGATAGGACCCATGTTTGTACCTTGCAGAAGGGTTAATACCTGTTGGATTCCAGTTAACTCTCATGGTCAGCCCAGATTTTCTATAGCTTGTCAAAAGGCTTCTGTTTCACCATACTTGTATTCTGTACTAAGGTGCATTCATATTGCATGAATAGCACAATCTAAGAAAACACTGAGTAGAAAAACACAGCAGTTAAAGCTTGTAACAGAGTAAAAAGCTCTTCAGAAAGGGACAGGATAAGTGTAAATAATTAAAAGCTGAGGAGCCAATATTTGTGAATGTTATAGATCAAGGACAAGACTGGGATTAGAGACAAACCCACTATTAACCTTTGACAGTAAAACTGGAAGCTGCAAAGCCAGGGAAATTGCACTTTGCAGGCTGAAGCCATTGAAAGGTAAACCACAATTTTGACAGAATAGGACAAAACAGAGGAACCAAAAGACAAGACCTTGAGACGCACAATTCTAAAACAGAGTCCCAAAAAACCCATTATAAGGCGCTGAATATATCCATGTTATTGCAAAAGGTAAGTTAATAACAGTGGGGCAGTAAAAAGATGTAGTAAAAAGATGAGCCCAATGTATCTGATCACTTTTCTGGAGTTAGAAGCAGAGTGCAGAGAACAGACAAAGGGAAACAGCATCACTAGCCCGGAGATATTGTTCAAAGGAAGATATCAGAGCATTTTTTCAAAGAAGGATGACACTCTAGTAGCTGCCAAAATGACAAACAATCACAAAACAAATGGAAGATTTTTAATTTTAAGTGGAATAAAGATGTACAAGCCACTGTGGTGCTATCAACATTGTTCTAGGCACTGGAATAAAAATCATGGCTGAAACTCAGTGCTGAGATGAAGTTTTCTTGATCCTCACATGAACCTAAAACTGGGATGTAGTTTGAATTTAGACACTTAAATTGAAGTGTAAACCAGGGATCCAAACTCTCAATGAAACCTAGTCAGAATAGTAAATGCAGATTAGAGCATGATTTTTCCTTATGCTACTGTAGACATTCTGGGTGAAGGATTTGTTTGCCTTGTGTTACTCCAGGATGGCTAGCATGTCAAAACAGTATGTTTAGATATCAAAAGGCATTGCTAAACCTATGTGACTAAATAATTCCAGGTCCTGTGACATATCCTGGTCTCCAGATGATAATCCAAAGAGATCTGGATCTCTTGTAGGGCCTGTGACACATCTGACAACCCAGACACATCTGAACTGAACCCTAGATCGACATGGACTGATTTTGAGAGACACTTTGGGGATGTTTTAGGTGCCTTTTAATGCCATTTTAGTGACCTTGATGCCTCTTAACCACACTTCAGATGGATCTTTAGATGCTCTAGTGTATCTAAGTCACTGGGCTGGCACATAGCACACAAGCCATGTTCTATACAGAGTCTACAAGAACTGCGCCCATAGAGTAGTAACTTAAGGCTCTTTGAAAAGGAGAAGAGGCCTAGATATCTTTTATGTTGAGTGTAAAAAGTCTGTATATGTTCTGCAGTCTGATATATGCATTTCTGAGGCGGTTTTATTATCTGGCATTCCCCCTAAATAGCTGATTATCTATATGGAACTCAATTCCTTGGTGCACCTGACAAAGAGGTATGTCTTGACAATGGTCAACAGGTGACAGCATGGGAATTCATGCAGGCTGCAAAGAAGTATGTGTTTATGTGGCACCACAGCTTCCATTACTCTTAATTTAGCAGAGGCAAAGAGTCTCAAAATAACTGAAAACATACATAAAAGACTGCAGACACAGTTCCTGATCCACATTTCTCGTTCTAAAACAACCAAATGGCAAATGAGACATTTCGTAGCACTTTGCTCAGCTGAAAAGCTATCCACAGAGAACTGGAAGATGCACAAAGACAACAAGACTTGTTGTCCTATAAACTGGCATATCGTAATGAGAATGGCATAATACACTGCTACCTAAAACAGTATAGAGAGCACAACAGCGTCATACAGTCCCTAATCATCCCCAGTGCACACTTTAAAGGGACAGATGAAACTTTTTCTATGACACCAGAACAGATAGAATTAAGAGGAAATGAACCAGGGATTTTGCTTGACAAGACGTCAAAGAGGTAACAGTCACAAGAGGCTC